AAGCCAGTCTAGAGTTCAGCCCACGTTGTTGTTCCGGCCGCGCTGATCCAGGCTTCCGCCTCACAAGGTATGCCCAAGACTTGTTGTGCATGTCTCCGTTCGTCATCTTCCCATCGAGTTTTCGGTCTGGCTTGTTTGCGACCTGGTTCCCTGTGAGCCAAAAACAATTCAGGCTCCCACAACAACACCTGGTATGTCCATTTGTGCCGCTCGGATGCGACTTTTGACGCCCATCTCCATGTCCTGCGACGTGGAGTTGTAATCCAATCTTCTATGTTCAATCGCTCTAACAGATGTTGCGCTTCGTGCGTGGCGCGTCTGACCAACGCGACCCATGGCTTCAGGTGGTCCTCCGTGTCGCAGAAGTCACTGTCGAGCATCTCAGTATTAACATGTCCGACAGCACTGGGAGAACGCGATCTGCTGCTGTCCGTATGGCCCACATCTCCATTAATTCGCGAGCACTCATCATCCGCTGGTTCTCGTCGTCTTCTCGGGGCACCAAGAATCATTCGTAGCATCTGGCGTTGTGTCCGGCGCAACCGGTTTTCCAGATCTTTTGTTAAAACCCACGAAGTACAACCATAGAGGACTGTGGGATTAACTCTACCGTGGGATAAGCGTATCCGGCCGTGTAGAGAATGTGTACGGGTAGTCAGTTCACGCTTCAAGGTATGGAACTTGCGCCACCCCGCAGCGATGCGGCTGTCCACCTCGCGCGCGTGCTGGTCTTGGAAAGTGAACTTCCTGCCCAGATACTTCTGGTGATCACCGAAGAGTAATATTTCCACGTGCTTGTAGGGTCGGAGACGTGCTCTGGGCGTGCACGGGGTCTCCGGTGACGATGGTTATGCAATATCTTGGTTCTGTCGGGATGTAACTCCAAGCCAACCTTGGCGGCTTCATCGCGTACTTCTCGAAGCATGCGCTGGACTTGTTTCAAGGACGTCCCAAAGAGGATAACGTCGTCAGCAAACCGAAGGTTCGTAAGGTGAGCGCCGGCAGAACTTACTCTGATACCACTCTTTCGTCTCGTCCAGTTCGGTTGTAGCTTTCTGAAGACGCTCTCCAGCAGTGAGTTGCATAGTAATGAACTCAGAGGGTCTCCCTGTTTTGTACCGCGCTGTATTTCAAATGCTCTGCTCTTTTTGTCAGTTGAAACAGTCGCCGTCTGATTGGTGTATAAGCGTCGTAGAACTGAGATGTAGCTTTTCGAAACCCCTTGCTCCTTTAAAGCTTCCCACACATCGCGATGTGATGCCGTGTCGAACGCCTTCTTGGAATCTAGCGTTGCTGTCCACGCTGGAAGCTGCCATTCTTGAGTCTTCTCTTGCACCATGGCCAACGTGAAAATATGGTCATCAGTGGAAAAATGCTGCCAGACACCTGCTTGTTCAGGAGGTTGTTGTGCATCCAGTGCTTCTTCAAGTCGATTGTGTAAGAATATGCTGACTGGCTTGTATAATGAAGGAAAAACTGTGATTGGACGGTAGTTCTGCGGCTGGGCTGGGTCGCCTGCCTTGTACACCACCGTGATGTTTGCTTGGCGCCATTGCTCTGGTGTGTCCGAGTCAGGTTTCAGCACGTCGCTGTACAGCTTCAGCAACGTTAGCTCGAGCACTGGTCCGCCGGACTTTAACGTCTCCGCCAAGATGCCAGACTTATCTGGAGCCTTCCCATTCTTCAGCTGTTTGAGCGCTGCCCTGAGTTCCAATAGAGAGAAATCTGAGACTGGCCTGGGGCAGTCGCGCTCGATATCGCGGTGGCGGTGATCTTCACGATCATGCTGTCGATAAAGGTCCTCGTTGAAATCAACAAAACGCTCTTTGGTGCCGTCCGGTCGCACCATTTGCGGTATCATATTCGCACGCCTGTTGGACTTGATGTCGCTGATCTTTTCAAGTTCTTGTAGTCATTAATGAAAGTACCTATTTGCATATGACGAGCTGCCCGTCGAATGGCTCTCACATCTCTTCGTATTCGTTTTGTTGCGGCATTTCTCCTGGTTGTATCTTCTCGTGGTATGTCCCGCCTTTCATCGAGCATTGCATGGAGAATAGGTTGTTCTCGTGTCTCGTGTGGTTGGTCATTTGATTGAGCGGGTGCCTCTTGACAGCTGGCAAAAGCAGCATTCAACATGTCTTCGATCTGCGTGCATCGGCGGCTCAATCCGTCCAAGATTCCCATGCCATTAATATCGTCACCAACTGTGTTGGCAAATGTCTGCTGGTTAGGCGGTGGCCATGATTTCTTTCTACATTTCCTCTGTTTTGGCCTCGCCGGAGTAGTCGTCGATGGAGCGGTGGCTGGTCTAGTGATAGCGATTCGTAGGTGCACAGTTCTGTGATCAGATCCCATGTCGATGACTCTACCCGCAACGCTGTCACGGACAGTGCACCAGAAAGACATATCAACCATGATGTAGTTGATCTGCCTAGGTATACCAGGTCCAATGTGTGTTACGTAATCGCCCGTGTGTTTCTTGAACATCGTGTTCGTCAGCACCAGACCCTGCATGGACGCCCAGTTCTTCAACTATCGGCCCCGCGTATTGCTAGGCCCAAGTCCAAATTTCCCGACCGTTTTGATACTGTCACCCTCTTCGTAAGATCCCACTTTTGCATTGCAGTCAGCCTCCAATACAATGTGGCGTCGTTTGAGACGAGCCTCGTGAATGGCTGTGCCGATGGTGTCATAGATGCGCTGAATGTGGTGGTCCTGGTAGCCGCTCTGAGGAAAATAAGCAGAAATCAGTCTGAGTCTTATCTTATTCCTTGTGATGTCCATATGTGCCATTCTCTGGTCCATGGGTACAAACTTACCCAAGTGTGCACGCCAGCGACGGTTCAAAATTATAGCAACTCCATGTGTGTTTCTGTCATGCCCAGATGCGCAAAATAGCTGCCCATGCGTCGTAACCCATGTCTCCGTCGAGATGTTACGCATCGTCTCGTTCAGCAGCATGGCGTCCCAAGGCGTGTTATTCAGCTCCGCAAGCAATTCGTACATTCTGTCATCGGTGGCCAACCCCCGCACATTCATGTGGATGACGTGGAAGTCGTCGTGGCTATCGGGCACCTCCTGGCATCGGTGGGAGCCGGAATCGGGAGAGAGGCGAAGATCGACGTCGGACCTGCGGAATCGGGAACAGTCCTGCTGGCCACTCCTTAAAGTAGGTGTGGGTGTGGGTGAAACGAAGGAGGAGGAAGTGAAACTCGATGAAACAGGTGAACTTGGTGAAGAATGTATGGGGAAATCTCAATCTAAACCACTGTACTTTCCCTGGCCGCCCCCTGTAGTGGTTGGGATTGGTGTCAGAATTTCTGTAGTCGTGAGAGAATGTGCGGCTTCTCGTGCTGGTACGTGTGCCAGATCATGGAGTTGAAACCTGGCTGGTGAAACATGTTTTCGCCGAAATTGGCGCCGTCAAAAATCATTGTCTCGTAGATTCCGCCATTCCTTCATGAATGTTTCCACCTCCTTCCTGAGCGTTTGCTGCTCGCGCGTAGGCTAGACAGAAGGAACTACAACGCCTTGCTGAGCATTCTGGGTCCCGAAGATCGGGCGCGACTCCGCTCCTGCGGTGGCGCCCACGCGACCGGCTGGCAGCTGGCGAGCGGCGGGCCCCGCCAGTGCTTCGAGGACGACGACGACTACCTCAGCATAGCTCGGGCTCTGCTGGGGCAGGACCTCGCGCCGCCGCACAGCCGCTGCTGGAACCGGCTGCGGACGGGCGCGCGCGCCGGGCAGCCCTGCGGCCAGCCCCTCTGCTGCAAGGCGCACCACGCATTTCGGCGCGCCTGCGGAGGGGCACCAAGGCGCGCAGCCGCGACGTCGAAGACGTCTGGGAGCGCATCCACGCCGAGTGCGGCTTCCAGACGGCGCGCCAGGTGCGCGTCCCAGCGTGGGACCGCTGGCGCTTGGCCTGCCAGACGGCGGCGCGCGGCTGGCGCTGGGACGCCTCGCCGCCCGGGCCCTGCAGGGCCTGCGCTGGAGACGCGCCGCGAGGAGGCCTTGCTGGACCTGGACGCCCAGCGCGCCAGCTGCCAGCGGCTGCTGGTGGACGTGACCGTCCGCTACGGCGTCCCAGGCGAGGGGCGCGCCCTGGCCGCCGCGGCGGACGCCGACGGGGCCATGGCCCGGGAGGGCGAGGCGGACAAGCGGGCGCGCTACCCTGCCGGCCGCGCGCCCTCGCGGGTGCTGCCGCTGGCGCTGGAGACGGCGGGACGCCACGGGCTGGCCGCGCTCGAACACCTGCGCTGGCTCGCGCGCAGCCGCGCTCGGCTGCAGGGTGACGGCCCCGAGGCTGACGCCGCGGCCAGCGCCCTGGCCGCGCGCTGGGGCGCCGAGCTCAGCGCGGCTCTGCACCGGGCCACCGCGCGGCAGCTCCAGACCGCCCTGGGGCGCGAGGCCGCGCAGGCCTCCGCGGCGGCGCTGGCTGACGAGCTGGCACCCCAGGCGCGTGGGCGGGGCTGGCGAGGCGGGCTGCTGGCGCTGGGCGTGAAGGTCGCCTTCATTGTCGTCGCGGTGTCCTACCAGGTGGCGAAGGCGCTAGGCAATCACAGTGGGCGTCGGGGGTGAAGCGCGTGTCCATGGGAGCGCAGGAGAGGAGGAGGAGGAGGAGGAGGAGGAGGAGGAGGAGGAGGAGGAGAGGAGGAGGAGGAGGAAGAGGAGGAGGAGGGAGGAGGAGGAGGAGGAGGAGAAGGAGGAGGAGGAGCAGGAGGAGGAGAAGGAGGAGGAGGAGGAGGAGGAGCAGGAGGAGGAGGAGGAGGAGGAGGAGGAGGTGGAGGAGGAGGAGGGGGAGGAGGATGGTGATGGTGATGATGGTGATGATGATGAGGAGGATGAGGAGGAGTAGAGGAGGAATCGATGGGCCCTGGGGGCGGCCTGAGCGGCTGGAGGGGGCGTGGTCTTGTGGGCGGGGGCGGGGGGGCCCTGGGAGGCCCTGGAGGGGCCTGGGAGGGGTTAGCCACACGTACGATGCGGTCCCACCCCAGGGCCTGTGGCCGCCTTCAGCGCACCGATGCGTCGCCTGTGATCCGACGAGGCGTCCCCGCCTGCGGAGGTCGGGGCCTCCTGCTCTGTTGGGGTGGGGTCTCGGAGGTTGTGCAGGTTGAGCAGCTCCTGGAGCTGGATGGAGCCGTCGCACGGCGCAACGTCAATAGCCGTGAAAATCTCCGCCGCGTCCTTGCCACAAAGCACAGTGAGGTCCAGGCCGCACATACTCATGCCGCCGCTAAACTCCATGAAACTGAGGTCCCCGTTCTTATTGAAGTCGAAATATCTGAAAGCCTTCTTCAGGCTGCCCAGCTTGAACTCCAGCGCCTCGGCGAGGGCCGCGTACCCCCGCGGCGTCTGCTTCTCGTGAAGGTGAGCGTACAAGTCTGCCCTCGCCTTTAGAGAAGCGAGCCGCGCCTTCGGTGCTGTTTTCATCCGCTCGAGCACCTCCAGGCGAGCCTGGCCCCAATGCGACAACTGCGTGACGTCGTCCAGTTCGCTGGCATCCTTGCTCTTTACCCTCGCCCCCGCCATACCAAGCATGCCGATCTTGCGAAGCTTTTTCATTGCATCGGTGCCCGAACCCACGTGCCCCATCGTCAGAGGGTCGCTGTCCGAGATGCTGCCCAAGTGGTCGGCCTTCGCGCCAGCCGTGCTCAGCCTTTTGCCCACCCGGCGGAGGAGGTCCCCGCCCCCGCCGCCGCCGAAGGAAGCGTGCCCGGAGGTCCACGCCACCCCGGCACGGGCCTGGTCCACGGCACTCGCTAGCGAGGACACCTCTGAGGGGCAACGAGAGGGGAGGTCGGGCACAGGGGGGGAAGCATCAGCCTGGAATCGGCGATACGTCGCCGATAGATCGGCGATAGGCACCCGACAGCGAATCCGCACCTTCCTGGGCGGGGCAGGGCTATCGGGCGATGAACGGGCGACTGGGGGCCCATGCGTCCCCCCCCCGAATGCCTACCCCCCCCCCTCGTTGCCCCAGCACCTTGTGCGCGCGACCGGAGCGGGGACCCGCATCCGCGAGCATCCTCCAGCGGCGGTTGTACTCCGAGGCCGCCGCCGCGATGACGTTACCCTGCGGGAGAGGGGGCCCGCCCTGCTGCTCCGCGCCCTCCACCAGCCTCGCGGCGGGCGACGAGGCGGGCGCCGGCTGGCCGGGGCCAGGCGGGGACTCCGGGCTCGGCTGCGGCGCAAAGTTGGGCGCGGTCGCCGCCAGCTGCCGGGAGCTCGCTGCCACGCCTCGGCCGAAGCCTTCCCTGGGCCCATGGGCGGCGGACCAGACCGAGGGAAGGCTCGGCGAGGGGGCCATCGGCCCTGTGGCACCTGGCAGCCGCTCCCGCTCGGCGGGAGGCAGCGCCGGCTCCGAGGCGGCGGGCGCCATGCCGCGGTTCCGGGCCCCGAGGCCGTGTGCGGAGCGGCTCGGGCCCGCCACGAGGAGGCCCGTGGGCGCGGGCTCGGCCTGAGGCTTGAGGGGTGCCCTCCCCGTCGCGTGCAGTGGCAAGGAGAGCCCGTTGCCGCCGCCGCTGCCGTTGCCTCCAAGCAGGCCCTGGAGGGCCTGTCCACCAGCGGCCTGAGCAGTGTGCCCACCTGCTGCCGACCTCTTGGCGCCTGGCCTGCCGGGCCTGCCTGCCGCAGAGGACGTCGTCCTGGCAGAGTGCCTGGGGAAGCCCAAAGGTACTCATACCGCTACTCCACGGACCTCTCCCTGGGTGCGTTCTGAACATGATTTCGAGGCGAATCTGGCCGTAGCGATGGGGGACGGGTAGCAGTATTGGTATCGGTTCCTCCTCTGAGTGCCTGCCACCCAGAGAGCGGGTCTGGTGGATTGCGGCGCCACCCCTGGCGGCATCTAAGCAGTCAGACCACACCACCGCCGATGACTGCATCGCCTGGTCTCGCGGCGCCCGCTGCAGCGGCCGCGGGCGTCCGAGCTTGAGCCGCCGAGCCTGAACGGGTACTAAAGGGGGGGGGAGAGTGAGGAAGTGTAAAAGCTGGGCGAGAAGGATGATGTGACGCCGGAGACGGGAAGGGGGAAGAGGGACACGGGACAATGAGGAGGCTGACAATGAGGGCGAGGGGAAGGGGGCGGCTGAGGAGAGGTAAAGGAAAATGTGTGGCGGTGCGCATTCATTATGTGAGTGGCCCAGTCGTCCGATAACCGAACGAGCAATGCACAATATTAGAGAATTTCGCGCGCGGCCGACCCATCCCATCGCCATCCGAGCTGCTTCTGGAGTGCTCTTGGGTGACAGTAGCCAATGATGTTTCTGAGGCGGGCCCCGTTACCGCCAATAATGCTTCTGGGTCGGCTCCACGGACTCTGCAATGTTTTAACACTACGCTGAAGATGCCCTAACCACCTGCGAGCGCATGGCGCGTTTGCTTGTTTCAATTGGTTTTGTACAACATGCGTTTCTATTATGTTTGCCAACCTTGGCCCCGAACCGTGTGCTTTTAGCAAATTGAGTTGTGCAATCTGTGTCATATGTTTCGTGCAATATATGCGGTGTAATACATGGCGCAACATGTGTGGTGCAGTCTATGTGGCGCAATATTTTTGAAGCAGCACATGGGTGCAATATACGTGGTGCAACCTGTGTTTTGCAACTTATCGATTGTGCAATAGATGCTTTGCAAGATATGTTGTGTAATTGCGTGGTGCAACGTATGCGTGTAATATATATGTGATGGAGTCTATATTGTGCGCAATCGATGTGGTACAATCGGAGTCATGCAATACATGTTGTGCCATCAATGTTGTGCAATCGATGTGGTGCAATCTATGTGGTGCAATTCGCCCTGCCGAACATGAAGCTATCTACTCCACTTCTCGCGCAACCATCCCACCCACCAGCCCGCAATTTGGTTCGCAAAACCCATGCGGCGGCGATTGCGGTGACTGCTTGGCGTTGGCTGGCGCATCACTGCGGCCGCGCTAACGCGCGCAGGCTCGCGCGCAGAACGGCCGGTAGCCTGGCGCGACCGGCGCGGCCACGGTGACGCTGACCGCTGGGGACTTCCCAACGAGTCTCGCATGCCGCGCTCTCGCGCGGACACTTCTGTGCGAGTCGGTGAAGTGGGCGGGCGAGGTATCATGGCGGCGTCGACAACGACAGACACGATGATAGTAACGATGCTGGTGACGACGATGACGGTGACGACGGCAAGGCCAATCACGGCGTCGATCCTGACCACGCCAATGACGGTGATGGCGTTCACGTGTCGGTGATGAAGGTTTTGGAAGGGTTTCGGCATGCGCGCGCAGCCGTCGGGCGCGAATGGCCCTGCATGGCGACACTTGACAGGGACCGTGCCCCCTCCAGCATGCGTAACAAGGCGTTCGAATGATTACGGCTTCCGCGACCGAGCGGCCCGTTTGGTCGCATGTGATGAAAGAGCTGGAACACGTATGTTTCCCGCAAGGCCTCGCAAACGAACGCGCAGCTTTTTTGACAAGCGACATGCTGCAACAACAATGGATTTCATATGATTCTGGGAGCCTCGGTCTTGCAATCCTTTTCGAAACCTAATATGCTTTAGCAAGTCCGGCATGCGCGCGCGACGGCGCGCGCGTATCGACTTTGCACTATGTTGTTCATTTTTAAATTAAAAAACTGTTCATTTGTGATGAGCGAATTGTGCGAGTATTATATTAATTGGCAGGGATGAGAAGGGGGAGGGGGGCACATGCTGCCTAGGATTGGATGGTACGAGTTCAAATGTGAAATTAACGGTGGGGCAGAATCGTGCGTAAATCACAATATCCAGGGGGATATTTCCGGGTTTGGGTGGTAGAGTCTATGTTATGTAAAAGAATCAATGTGGCGCGAGTGGTCCGCATGCGAGTATTTGGACAGGATCGTGCCCCCCTCAGGATGCGGGCAAGGGCGCTCGAATGATTCCGGCATGCGCGCAGGAGAGGCATGTTGGAACGCCGACTGTTTTCTGCATGATTCGCAACGGCGCGCGCACACTTTCGAAATATCATGTTGCAAAACCATTATCCTGGGTCTATGTGTTCAAAAACCAAACTTTGACTTCCTTGCGACCAAACTTTTACCTAAGGATTTTGGCATGCGCGCGCGACGGCACGCGCGTGACAACGTTGCCAAGTTTTTGGTCGCAACGGGTTCTTCGAAAATGATGATCATCAATGAACGAATGCGCGCGCAGAACACCTTTTGACGTTGATGCGCAGGGGGGGCCGATGCCGGCTGGATTGGGGTGGTACGGACTCATATTTGAAACGCACGGTGGGGCAGAATCGCTGTAAATTTTACAATCCCAAGGGGGGCCGATCAAACCAGGGGGTGGTGGTGGTGGTTGCTCGCAATCATCCTACCCGCCCGCGCGCAACTTGGTTCGCAAAACCCATGCGGCGCGATTGCGGTGACTGCGTGGCGCTGGCTGGCGCGTCGCTGACGATGGCGATGACGGCGGCAAGGCCAACGACGGCGCCGATGATGATCGAGCCGATGAAGATGATGGTGTCCACGTGTCAGTGATGAAGGGTTTTGAAAAGATTTCGGCATGCGCGCGTGGAGGTCGCGCGCGAGTGGCCCGCGTGACAGGATTTGACACGGGTCGTGCCTCCCCAGCACGCGCGCGCGCGAACAGCCCGTTTGGTCGAATTAGGTGGGGATGTTGAAACACTTGTGGTCATCGTAAAAATTTGCAAGAGTTCGAGCGCAAAGATTTTTGAACGTCGAACTGCAAATCCGTTATCCTTGTTGATTCGGGAATTTGGATCTTGAGATCTTTACGGGACCTGTGGTTTTTGATGGAAGAATTTAGGCATGCGCGTGCGACGCCGCGCGCGCGTGGACTCCGTCTCATCTGTTGCAGGGGACTATCGAAAATCTGTGATTCGTGATGAAGGACTGCGCGCGTATATTACTAAGATGAAAGGGGGCGTCGCCCCGCCCGCTCTCCCGCAACTTGGTTTGCATGGGCCCATGCGGCGTCGATTGCGATGAGTAGTTGTTCGGTGCGTTATCTCTGCGGCCGCGCTAGCCCGTGCATTTTCGCGCGCGCAGCGGCCAGCTAGTTCGGCGCGACCGGCGCGGCCGCGGTGGCGCTGGCCGTTGGGCCCTTCCCAACGGGCGCTTCAGTTGGGTCGGCGACTTGGGCGGGCGCGGTGCACTGGCAGCATCGAAAACCATAGACGCGAAGATGATACTAGCGACGCTAATGGCGATGAGGGCAACGACGGCAGCAACTCTAGTGGCGGCGCCAACGACGGCGTCCTCGCGTCGGTGATAAAAAAGGTTTTGGGAGCAGCTCTACATGCGCGCGCGGCCGACGCGTGAGGGTAGCGGACTTTGTATTATTATGCGCGCGTCGTGCCCCCGCCAGCGCGCGCGAGCATGCGTCCGAACTAATCCGACACGCGCCTGCGAACGGCCAGCTTGGTCGCATTTGATGAGGATGTTGCGACACTTTTGGCGTTCGAACGAATTCGCAGGAACGCGTGCCCAGAGACACTTTTCGCAACGTCAAGTTGCAAGCCCGTTGCAATTTTTCTGTATAGGTTCGGGAATTTTGACCCTTAGAACTTTGTGTGTGGGGCGGTTTTTCAATGCTTTAAGCATGCGCGCGCGACGCCGCCCGCGCGTGGACTCCGTCTCATCTGTTGCGCGGGATTATCAAAATATTTGATGCGTGATGAAGGAGTGCGCGCGCATGGTATTATTTGACGCAGATGAGGGGGTGATAACAAGGGTCTCGCTGGTATGGTATGAATCCATAACTAAGCGAGCAAGTTGGAACGATAATTCCGGGTGGTGTTGGTGGTCGACCTTCAATTCTGCTTGCGTCGGAGAGCGTGCGCGGTGCAGTCCACGTTGTGCAATTGAGTTCTGTTTGCAATGAATTGCCAACTCCACTGCTCGCGCAGTCGCCCCACCCGCCCCTCCGCAACTTGGTTTGCATGGGCCCATGCGGCGGCGACTGCGATGAATACTTGGAATTGGCTGGTGCATCTCTGCGGCCGCGCTAGCCCGTGCATTCTCGCGCGCGCAGCGGCCGCCTAGCCCGGCGCGGCCGCAGTGGCGCTGGCCGCGGGGCACTTCCCAGTGGGCGCTTCAATGCGAAGTGGGCGACTTGGGCGGGCGCTGAATCATGGCAACGTCGACGACGGTGGGCGCGAGGATGATAATCGCGATGCTGGCGGCGATGATGACAACGACGACGGCAAGGCTAGTGACGGCGCCGATGCTGATCGCGCCGGCAACGATGACGGCGCCCTCGCGTCGGTGATGAAAGTTTCGAAACAAGGAGTTCGACATGCGCGCGCGGTCGACGCTGAGTTGCCCGCGTGGAATTATTTCACGCGGATCGCGCCCCCCCCCCAGCACGCGCGCAAGGGCGTTCGAATGATTTCGACATGCGGCGCGAGAGGTTCGCTTGACAGGATTGGATAACACGGTTGATAGCATATGGCTTTCTTAAGAATTCACAGAAGCGCGAGCGTAGTTTATTCTTCGAATTACCATGTGGCGTACCCGACCCATTCGCATCAAGTGACACGAAGAGTTGACCCCAATTTGCCTGGGCAATGACATTGCTGGCGCTGCTCTGTGTTGTGCAAGCCACATGGGATGCGCACGCGTGGCACGTAGCTACATGGGATACGCGCACTGTGGAAACCTGCCAGCCGACAAGATGCGTGACGATAGTTGTGAGAGGGCCCGATGGGCAACCTCGACGGACGGTATCGATGGCGCAAGCCGTAGGGCAAGGGCACGCGAGCATTGCTCGTGGTCGAGAATCGCGAGTGATTAGAGGGCCCGATGGGCAAACTCACCTCAAGGTCGGCCCACCTCGTAATGATGCGTCAAACTAAAGCAATGCAGAGAAAGCTGGGCAAACGTGCTTCTTCTGCCACGGGTAGAGAGCTGCCGGCCGATAAAATGTGTGATGATAGTTGTTAGAGGGCCCGATGGGCAA